GCCCGGGGAAGATCAAGAGGGGGGCGACGAGACCGAAGGGGGGGAGAGTTCCCGCCCAGTTTTCAAAAAATGGTTGAAAGATTTTCGGATTTTTATGTTCTCCGATTTCTGAGGTACTTGCATTTTGCTTTTATATCTTCGCACTGCCCTTGGTCAAGGGCTACTTTTCAATACAAAACTTTTATCTCTGGGATACTTAGTAATCCGATCGTTGGACCGCTACAGTGAGTCTCATCGGAGAAGTCCGAAGTGAAATTATTTTCTCGATAACTCAGCGGGGGTGTTTCGACAGCGGAGGGATGGAGAGGAAAAATGGAATAGAGGAGTATTATCCCCCCCCCCACCTCCTACTCGAAAATTTTGGTTTTCTTCAATATAAATAGCTGATGTTTTTCTGTGTATATATAATTCTTAGTTAACTAATAAAGTGGTTAGATATTCAAGAACCAGAATGGTTGATTATGCTCTGTACAATGGTAGAGAAGAAGGAAGAAAACGCAATGGGAGAATACCAACACTGTAACACAAAGTGATGTGCCTTTGGATTACGCTCACATAATCAACTATGAAACATCCTAAACTATTACTCATTTTCTTTTTCATTTTTGATGTACGCGCATGATGTATCACATTCTTTCTGATGCGTCATATATCGTCATCAGAATGTTCACATCACAATATACGATGACGCTATCAGAATGTATCAATGTATATTGTCATCAGAATGTTCATAATGATGTTCATAAGATGTTCATAAAGTTATTTATGTTTATAGGATATTTATGAAAATCTCAAAATATCAAATACTAAAAGTTGAGAAGGAAAAGATCCAAGCGTATTGTGCGATATCCCCGATCGGTAATCCATAGAAGACCATAGCGACGTCGTCTTCTCATACGTCAAACATGTACTATCAAATCACCTAGACCGACATCGGGTACTTCCGCTAGTATATATATATATTTAACCTTGAGCGCGTTTGTCTAAAGCGTGTTTAAACGCGTTTGCGACGCTTCTTCCAAAACATCCACGTTTAGACTCGTCTTTTCCGAACCAATGCGCTTAAACGCTTTTCTTCAGACGCAACCAAGTTACATGGGTGTATCGAATCATTTGCATTATGAGAGAGCTGAAAAAGTCGACTTAGACGGATTGAGCTGAAATTTTGGGTAATGAATAACGACTATTAGTTAAACATTTTCTGAAAGTTTCATCAATGACGTCTCAACGGTTGCGAAGATAATTACTTTTATAGAAGGCGCTAAGTGAGTAGCGTTTATTGTCGTTGAACATACCGCTGTTGAACAAAAGTGATTGTGTCAAAGAAACTGCGAAAATTTTGGCGACATCTCTCAAAAATTCAAAATGTTATAACTCCTGAACGGATGCATAATTTTCGACGAAATTTGAATTCTGTCGATGGAATCGATGTAGATTACGATTAAATTCTAAGAAACGGGATACTACTAAAAGCAAAAAAAATTGATGGGGTAGCAATAAAAAAAATTTTTTTTTCGCAAACTCCGATCTCAAAATTTTTTTGATATAAACTCATCATTTGGGTCCAATATCACCCTCCACAAGTTACATCTGGGTCCCATGCTCTGAAGCTAAGATACAGCATATCCAAAAATCCTTGCGCCGCCACTGTTTCTGTGTAACTGTAGTCCTCTTCTGTTGCTTGGTTACAGAACAGAAATCCTATCAAATGGCAATTCTAGATGATAAAAAACAAAGAGAAGAAAATATAATTCAACAATAGAGATCAAATGTACCGCTTTCAGTCTACTCCTCTTTTGATCTTAAAAAAAGCGAGTTTTCGAGACAAGCAGTCTGTAGAAAAGAACAAACTTTCTATTTTAATCTATATATTCATTTATTCAATGTCCGAAAGAACCAGTGCTCATCCAATATTTCTCTGACTTCTCAGATTAAAATTAAATTAACTAGAGAAGGTCCATCTCCACTTCTTATACTAGTCTGAAGTACAGTCGTTGTACTACATACCGATCTAAGTTCTAGAAAAAGACCCTTTTTAGTTTTTGAGATATGTGGCTCTCAATATCGATGATTAGCAGCTAGAACAACGCTTTTTGACTATCATGATTTTCCGGCTTTCTCTTCGGGTCATGATAGTCAGAGGTAATGTGTGTTCAAACAGGTAAAAACCATTATGAAGTCAAAATCATATTTAGGGCCAGTCAGAAGTACCGAAGTTGTACTATCTGCTGAGCTATATTTTAGAAAAAAGATACATTTTACTTTCTTTGAAAGCGGGCTGTCAATATATACATAAGGAACATATATACTTTTTATTGTCATCGCTGATAGATGTATGAGAATTTGTATGTGTAAGGTTCTCGAATACAAATCGTGTACAAATTTTATATCGGTAGAGTACAAGTATACAAGATTGTTGATAAGCTCTTAATCAGTTTCGTATAAGCCTGTCAAAATGTATCAACTAGATCGAAGGGTAACTGAGCGTTTCAGAATATATTCCGATCGGTCGTTACTCCGATCCTTAGGTCGGTATAGGTACGATATGACATCATTTAGCACTGGTTTATACGTAACTGTCTTATTTCTAATTGCAACATAACAGCAGTGCTGCTGTTGTTATGACTATCAATGAAGCACTAGGTTTCAGCTTATGTCACTCAGACAAATGCAATTCTTCTGAAAACCCACAATAAAATGTTGTTGAATTTTGATGTAACATATGTCTAACGTCACTGGACGATCTAAACAGATAAATGAGAAATTGTGGAACAGCCAGATGAAGCAGCTTCCGTCTACATGCGCGATGATTGAACTAATTCTAACAATAACCTATTTCGTAACAATCTACTAAAGGAAGAAACAAAAAATCAACGGAACGAAAGAACGTTAATGATGAAACATAGTATTCGATAATATCGTATGTTTTCTAGTCATCAAATCGTAATTTCATAATTTCGTGTAATTTTCCTAATGTTCATCATTCAATTTTGATAATCGAATTCTGTAGCAAACAAAGCAACCTCCTAAAAACACTTACCGGAGCACCTTGGCAATTACATGGATGAATTCATTTTCCTTGTTGTTGTTAATGACATTTTTAAAATGCTATATACCGATTCAGTAATAGTTCTTAAAAAATTCTCGATATTATAAACTTTATCAGTTCTAAATTTACAAAAATATTGAGTCATGGTAGTTTTTGCATTGACGACTAGAAAATGAAGGTACTTTTTATCAAAGGTAGTCAACACAAATGTGCGATTCACTGTCTCTGTTAAACCACACAAAAGAAGTGAGTAGTACCTTCAGTAGGCTGCTAAAAGTAGACGTCGGCCAGGTTGCTCAAACTAATGAATTTTTTTTTTTTTGAATATTTCATTTTTACATTATGTATGGCTATAAGTCGGCGAATGTTACTTTTGTATGCAATTTTGTTTTGATTTACATCATATTAAATAGAACGAGAAAATAGATTTTCTAATAAGATACTTTGTATATGGACCAAGTTCATTGTATATCAACAATGTCATATGTTTCTTATATTTTGGTTATATTTTAGAATTATAAATATACAATAACAAGTGATGTATATCCATCTGTTACTATGAAATCTATATTTCCATTAACATGCTTATATATTAAACAAAAGCTTTCTATTGAAGATGGATGGTATTGTGAATTCGATGTCAGTGGTTTTGTATTAATGGATTTGGCAAATAATAAAAAACTGCATACACCAAGTAAAATCACTAAAAGAATCACTGTATCAGGTGCCTGCTTGCTCGTCCAAAGGCGTTTACCAATTAGCATTATATAATACGTATTCTGCTTTGTGATACATATATATATATATAGTCGATTGCATAGCCATGGTACTGTTGATCCCGAATAAGCAAATTGCAAATATTTCGAGTTCCGTTAAATCGATCTGAATAATGTTTTGTTTTACTCGTTGATAATGTTCCTGCATACATACAAACAATCAAGTTGTTTCCTGTCATGATTGCCGAGATATGTCTCTAACAATCTCAAAAATCCGTATTTTTGCGCCGTCTATCGGATAAAAATTTTTATATTTTTTGATGCTTTTATGTTCTAAACTTGTTTTATGTTACTCAGTTGTAATTGATAGTTTGGTCTTTAAAAATATAGCTTTTATTTTAACCCATCACTTAGTTTTCTGCGTAAGTCATCACAAATAGTCTTTTTCGACTTGAATTGAATAATAAAACGTTTTGCCAGATGAAGCAGTCTTGGGAACATAACTAAATAGGTAAGAAACTTTTGTAGTCGCATTTATAGACAGAAAACAAAACATTTTTAAAAAAATATTTTTCACACACGTTGTATACTAACTTTTTTCAAGGTGTTTTGTCATTATCTCCATGACACTTGTGCTGTTTGACTGAAAGAGTTTTAGATGACACTGTGTCTGTCATGTACAGCTCATAGAGTTGTGTATAAGTTCAAAAGTTTTTTTGAAAAAACTTAGTCCGCTCGTCGTGAGTGGTGACAAGAATCACTGTTTTACCTGTGTCAGATCCAAAATAGGTGTAAAAATGCAAACTTTGACCTCAGAATTTCTCAAAAAATCTTCGTCAGATATTTAAAAATATTTTTTTTAAAGAGTTCTGATCTAGTACTACAAACATCTCCATATTTCGTCCAATATTGATGATTTACCTAATGACATAGAAAGTATTGTGAGATTGGTCGCAGACGATGTTATTCTTTTAAATCATCATAAAGATTCAACTTTGTGCGAGCAAAGTCTAAACCGAGATCCCAAAAAAACCGAAGAATGGTCATAGAAAAGGTACCTTTCAATCCATCTGAATGCGAATCCATTACTTTTTCTATGCGACATCATCATAAAGACTCGTCATCTTTTAAACCACTGTTATTGTGCAGTTTACCAATCGCAGAAAAAGAAGAAGATATTCAGGTTTACTGCTATCCTTCGACTTAACATGTCATATTAACGACGAAGTCATAGCACGACTCCTCTTAAAGTATCTTCTATAGTCGGTATAATGCAATTTCACAAGCATACACTGCGTAAGAATGTTCTAGAGATTATTTATAAATCTTGTGTTTTATCGGTTTTAAGTTAGGCTCGATAATTTAATCACTGACTACAGAAACGAATCTCGTTAAGTTAGGAAGTCTACAGTATCAAGCGGCGTTAGCTGTTTCAGGAACTATGAAAGGTACATCGAAAGAGAAGTTATATGAAATATTAAGATGGATTAATGTAAAGACTCGGCTTAAAATTTTGCGATTGCTGACTCTCGCAAATATCATAAAAGGATTAAACAGGATTAACTCTCCTTAACTTCCCATCTACAAATTCGCCAACCGAACGGAAGCTACGGTTCACGCAGTTGTCAGCGATCTTTTTTTATAGCGGTAAATAGTACAGACAGAGACCTTTCTACTGTTATTGCGCGAGAATGCAATGACCTTACATTGAATGACACGAACTTGTCAGCTATGAAAATATCGAAATTACGCGATACTTTAAAAGGTCAGTATATGTCAACAGGTGTTTTTTCTAAAAAATTAAAGTTCTTTACGCGACGGTACGAAGTGATCTTTATGCGGATAAAAGCAAATTTTCCACCGCTAAACTACTATCTCCATCGGCGTAGTTAGCTACGGTCCTGCGTCTTGTAGAAACTTGAATGAAATGAAATGAGGTTCTTTTAATCGAATATGCATCAAACTCAAATCTTAAGCCTAAGTCAGGTCTGTTTTAGTCTATTTTTAATGCCTCTGTTTATAACATTTATATTTCAAATTCAAACATGAAAATCAAGACGACGATGACGCAAATTGCATTTATTATCGAATTCAAAAACTAACAAACAATTCTGAACAAGTAAAATACCAATGGGCAAATCTTCAAATGATGGGGGGG